ACAGGGACAATTTGATTTCTTCTTTTCCTAACTGAATATCCTTTATTTCTTTCTCTTGCCTGATTACCCTAGCCAGAACTTCCAACACTATGTTGAATAGAAGTGGTGAGAGAGGGCATCCCTGTCTTGTGCCAGTTTTCAAAGGGAATTTTTCCAGTTTTTGCCCATTCAGTATGATATTGGCTGTGGGTTTGTCATAAAGAGCTCTTACGATTTTGAGATACGATCCATCAATACAGAATTTATTGAGAGTTTTTAGCATGAAGGGCTGTTGAATTTTGTCAAAGGCATTTTCTGCATCTATTGAGATAATCATGGGGTTTTTGTCTTTGGTTCTGTTTATATGCTGGATTACGTTTATTGATTTCCTTACGTTGAACCAGCCTTGCATCCCAGGGATGAAGCCCACTTGATCATGGTGGATAAGCTTTTTGATGTGCTGCTGGATCCGGTTTGCCAGTATTTTATTGAGGATTTCTGCATTGAAGTTCATCAGGGATACTGGTCTAAAATTCTCTTTTTTTGTTGTGTCTCTGCCAGGCTTTGGTATCAGGATGATGTTGGCCTCATAAAATGAGTTAAGGAGGAGTCCCTCTTTTTCTATTGATTGGAATAGTTTCAGAAGGAATGGTACCAGCTGCTCCTTGTACCTCTGGTAGAATTCAGCTGTGAATTCATCTGGTCCTGGACTTTTTTTGGTTGGTAGGCTATTAATTATTGCCTCAATTTCAGAGCCTGCTATTGGTCTATTCAGGGATTCAGCTTCTTCCTGGTTTAGTCTTGGGAGAGTGTAAGTGTTCAGGAAATTAGCCATTTCTTCTAGGTTTTCTAGTTTATTTGCATAGAGGTGTTTATAGTATTCTCTGATGGTAGTTTGTATTTCTGTGGGGTCGGTGGTGATATCCCCTTTATCATTTTTTATTGCATCTATTTGATTCTTCTCTCTTTTCTTCTTTATTAGACTTGCTAGCGGTCCATCAATTTTGTTGATCTTTTCAAAAAACCAGCTCCTGGATTCATTGATTTTTTGGAGGGTGTTTTGTGTCTCTATCTCCTTCAGTTCTGTTCTGATCTTAGTTATTTCTTGCCTTCTGCTAGCTTTTGAATGTGTTTGCTCTTGCTTCTCTAGTTCTTTTAATTGTGATGTTAGGGTGTGAATTTTAGATCTTTCCTGCTTTCTCTTGTGGGCATTTAGTGCTATAAATTTCCCTCTACACATTGCTTTAAATGTGTCCCAGAGATTCCGGTATGTTGTATCTTTGTTCTCATTGGTTTCAAAGAACATCTTTATTTCTGCCTTCATTTCATTATGTACTCAGTAGTCATTCAGGAGCATGTTGTTCAGTTTCCATATAGTTGATTGAGTTTCTTAGTACTGAGTTCTAGTTTGATTGCTCTGTGGTCTGAGAGACAGTTTGTTATAATTTCTGTTCTTTTACATTTGCTGAAGAGTGCTTTACTTCCAACTATGTGGTCAATTTTGGAATTAGTGTGATGTGGTGCTGAGAAGAATGTATATTCTGTTGATTTGGGGTGGAGAGTTCTGTAGATGTCTATTAGGTTCGCTTGGTGCAGAGTTGAGTTCAATTCCTGGATATCCTTGTTAACCTCCTGTCTCGATCTGTCTAATGTTGACAGTGGGGTGTTAAAGTCTCCCATTATTATTGTCTAACTTTCTTTGTAAGTATCTAAGGGCTTGCTTTATGAATCTGGGTGCTCCTGTATTGGGTGCATATATATTTAGGATAATTAGCTCCTCCTGATGAACTGATCCCTTTACCATTATGTAATGGCCTTCTGTGTCTCTTTTGATCTTTGATGGTTTAAAGTCTGTTTTATCAGAGACTAGGATTGCAACTCCTGCTTTTTTTGTTTTCCATTTGCTTGGTAGATCTTCCTCCATCCCTTTATTTTGAGCCTATATGTGTCTCTGCATGCGAGATGGGTCTCCTGTGGTCTCCTGAATACAGGTGACTGATGGGTCTTGACTCTTTATCCAATTTGCCAGTCTGTGTCATTTAATTGGACCATTTAGTCCATTTACATTTAAGGTTAATATTGTTATGTGTGAAATTGATCCTGTCATTATGATATAAGCTAGTTATTTTGCTCGCTAGTTGATGCAGTTTCTTCCCAGCATCGATGGACTTTACATTTTGACATGTTTTTGCAATGGCTGGGCACCTGTTGTTCCTTTCCATGTTTAGTGCCTCCTTCCAGACCTCTTGTAGGGCAGGCCTGGTGGTGAACAAATTCTAAGCATTTGTAAAGGATTTTATTTCTCCTTCACTTATGAAACTTAGTTTGGCTGGATATGAAATTTGCTGAAAATTCTTTTTTAAGAATATTGAATATTGGCCCCACTCTCTCTGGCTTGGAGAGTTTCTGTCGAGAGATCTGCTCTGGGGTCTGATGGGCTTCCCCTTTGTGTGTGACTCCGACCTTCTCTCTGGCTGCCCTTAAGATTTTTTTCCTTCCATTTCAACTTCTTGTGAATCTGGCAATTACGCAGGTCTTGGAGTTGCCTTCACAGAGTATCTGTATGCTCTCTGTGTTTCCTGAATTTGAATGTTGGCCTGCCTTACCAGGTTGGGGAAGTTCTCCTGGATGATATCCTGAAGAGTGTTTTCCAACTAGGTTCCATTCTCCTGTCACTTGTGCACACCAATCAGACGCAGATTTGGCCTTTTCATGATAATCCCATATTTCTTGGAGGTTTGTTCATTTCTTTTTTTACTCTTTTTCTACACTTCTCTTCTCGCTTCATTTCATTCATTTGATCTTCAATCGCTGATACTCCTTTCTTCCAGATGATCGAGTTATTACTGAAGCTTGTGCATTTGTCACATAATTCTCATGTTATGGCTTTCATCTTTCATCAGTTCTTTTAAGGTCTTCTGCATTGATTATTCTAGTTATCCATTCATCCATTCTTTTTCAAGGTTTTTAGTTTCGGTAATTGATTACGAAGTTCTTCCTTTAGCTCTGAGTAGTTTGATCAACTGAAGCCTTCTTCTCAACTCATATCAAAGTCATTCTCCATTCAGCTTTATTCCATTGCTGGCGAAGGAGCTGCGTCTTGGAGGAGATGCACTCTGATTTTTTGAATTTCCAACTTTTCTGAACTGCTTTTTCCCCATCTTTGTGGTTTTATCTGCCTGTGGTCTTTGGATGATGGTGACGTACTGATGGGGTTTTCCTTCTTGTGTGTGTCTTTCAGGTTTGTTAGTTTTCCTTCTAACAGTCAGGACCCTCAGCTGTAGGTCTGTTGGAGTTTGCTTGAGGTTCAGTCCAGATCCTGAATGCTTGGGCACCAGCAGCGGAGGCTGCAGAAGATAGAATATTGCTGAACAGCCAGTGTTGCTGTCTGATTCTTGCTCTGGAAGCTTCGCCTCAGGTGTACCGCCTTGTGAGGTAAGGAGGTGTCGGCCTCTGCACCTAGCGGGGGATGTCTCCCAGTTAGGCTACCGGTGGGGTCAGGGACCCACTTGAGCAAGCAATCTGTCCGTTCTCCCATCTCAACCTCTGCTGGCAGATCCACTGCTCTTCCAAGCTGTCAGACAGGGCATGCATTTCTGCCGAGGTTTCTGCTGCTTTTGTTTAGCTATGCCTGTCCCCAGAGGAGAGTTCACAGAAGCAGACCAGCCTCCTGAGCTGTGGTAGCTCCACCCAATTTGAGCTTCTGGGCAGCTTTGTACTCACTAAGCCTCAGGAAATAGCGGGTGCCCCTCCCCCAGCCTCACTGCTGCCTTGCAGTTAGATCTCAGACTGCTGTGCTAGCAACAGAGGGAGGTTCGTGGGTGTGGGACCCTCTGGGCCAAGTGTGGGATATAATCTCCTGGGTGTGCTGTCGGTTAAGACCCTTGGTAAAGTTTGCAGTATTAGGGTGTGAGTTGTCTGATTTTCCAGGTGCTGTGTGTCTCAATTTCCTCTTTGGCTAGGAAAAGTAATTCCTTCCTTGCACTTCCTAGGTGAGATGCCCAGCCTGCTTCAGCCTCACTGGCTCGGCTGCACCCATGGACCAGTGCCAACTGTCCGCTATGCCCCAGTGAGACAGAACCCAGTACCTCAGTTGAAAATGCAGAAATCACCCATCTTCTGGGTGCCGTTTCACTCTGGGAGCTGGAGGCTGGAGTTATTCCTATTCGCCATCTTGGTGCACTTCTAAACTTTAGACACAGTAGTTATCAATAAGGAGTGGAATTGATTAAATTATACATTTGTATCATTTTTGCATTTTTTCTAATATGAATTTCTTTTGTTAAAGATGTGAAAAAGTACTATGCCCATACTTTACAGTCATAACGAAGAAACACTGAAAGATAAGACTTTGTCTCTATTTTCTACATCTCTTACACATTTCAATCATTTGTGTAAAATGATTTGTACATACACTAATAAAACACAGCTTCTGGCTAATTTAACAAATGCCCTTCACCACAGAACTACTTCAGAATCTAAGACTATACAGCATATTTTCCAACTGACAGTTAAGTTAACTTTAAATTTTCATTTTTAAAGTGCTGTGATTAACAATGCATCAACAGGGCTAGGTACTGTCACACACCTGTAATCCCAGTACTTTGGGAGGCTGAGGTGTGTGGATCGCCTGAGGTCAGGAGTCTGAGACCAGCCTGACCAACATGGTGAAACCCTGTCTCTACTAAAAATACAAAAACTGGCCGGGCATGGTGGTGGGTGCCTGTGATCCCAGCTACTTAGAGGCAGAGGCAGAATCGCTTGAACCTGGGTGTTGTGAGGTTGTGGTGAGCCAAGATCACACCACTGCACTCCAGCCTGGGTGACAGAGTGAAACTCCATCTCAAATCATCATCATCAATAATTATGCATTTATGGGAAGTGAAATTAGATTTAAAAGACTGGTATGTAAAAACTGTGACCAGTGGAGTTGAACCTATGTTCATGTCTATGGCCACTGAATGTCCTCTGCTGCTGCTTCCCTTCAGGACAAGCGCTTCACATGAAGAGCTCCTAAACACTTTGGAAGACTACCAGTTACAAGGTAAGCTGCTGTTATGTATTTAGTCCATATCCTGTTGCTCATGTGGCTGTGTCCACACAGTCATCAAGTCTTAAAGTTCTGTCCAGGGTGGACGAGGGTTTGCCACCTGTAATCCCAGCCCTTTGGGAGGCTGATGGAGGCAGATCACCTGAGGTCAGAGCAGGCAAGACCAGCCTGGCCAGCATGGTGAAACCCATCTACTAAAAATACAAAATAGCCAGGTGCCACAGTACGTGCCTGTAATCCCAGCCACGACATGAGGCAGGAGAATTTTTGAACCCAGGAGGCATGAGGTTGCAGTGAACCAAGATTGCTTTGGCTTGCACTTCCGCCTGAGTGACCGAGTGAGACTCCATCTCAAAACAAAAAAGTTCTTTCTAAATCACTGTATGTTCTTTTTAGTCCCTGTCCTGAGGTAGCCTGTAGAGCAAAGACATTGGCATAGAACTATCCTCAGACCAGTCAAGAAAGTTGCTACAACTTCAGTTTTACTAAAAATTATTTGGGGAACTAAGATGCCATTTAATTTTAGAGTATCAAATGATAATATTAGTGGGACCATCCAAGGTTTCTCTAAATAAGAGACACACCTTGCAGGTTTGCATCTAAAACAATTTTCTTTTTAAATTGTAACCCTGCAGGCTCACTGCATCAGAGTTATCTGGGTGCTGTCTGCAAGCTGATTCTGAATCCTGCCCCAGACTGGGAGGGATTTCAATGCTTGCGTGTGAGGCCCAGGAATCATTTTTTCAAAAGCTCACTGGTAATTTTTGTAGTATATCGTAAGTTCATCATATTCTGCCAAAAAAAAAAGAAAGAAAGACAGAAAGAGGTATCACAAATAACACAAAGCATGGAGAGTAGACAGCAGTTTTCAAATTTGCTGCACATCAGAATCATCTGAGAGATTTTAAAACTCAGCACAGGCCATGCCCTATACTAGCAATTAGAATCTCTGGGGATGGGAAAGAGGCAGCAGAAGTTCTAGTAACTCCACAGGTGATTTCAGGGCTGGGCCAATTTCACTGGTGTTGTAGCGACTGCTGTACAGCTTAGATACCAAGTTGAGTCCTCCTGAGTGTCAAAGCACACTCAACTTGAGACTTTCAGCAGTAACAACAACGACAAAATGGTTAATACCACTTTTTCACAGTGACAACAACAAGACCTACTAAGCTGCCATAAAAATCTAAGTATGGTTTAAACATGTGAGTAAATTCTCATTACCAAATATGACTACATACAATTAAATAAAAGTTTTCAACACTTTCTTTAAACAAACAAAAATGTGATTCACACCCAGCCTCCACTGAAAGAAAACTTATGCTCTAAATACAGCTCTGAACCTATCTTCTAAATCGGTTTCATTAAATAATATGATGAAGTGACCAATATGGTTTTTTTTTCATGCTGTTACATATCAATCTGCAACAGCTTGAGGACAGTTAGAAAATACAGAAGTAGAATGTGTATCAGAATAAACTAAATTTCAGATTCATTGAGCTAGATATCTCAAGTCAAGAGTCAGTTAAAAGACTGAAAGATGGATGCACCCTGATTTTCTCAGGGGCTTACAAGATAAGATAGTGCATTAAACCTGACAAACATATCTGACTGTACTGAACCAGAAACTACAGTCTCAGAATTTTAAAAGCATGTCTTTACTTAATGAAGTACAAATTTCAAAATCAAACTGGGCCTATAGACTTGTAGAAGGCAAAAGGAGAATGTACTCATTTTACTATTGTGACCTGGCTTGAATTCAACAGAATCAAAGATATAAAAGAATTGCAGAGCTGTCTGGTGGAAAGGAAATCATCATTTCACAAAGGACTCAATGACTTACATGATTTCAAATCATGCTTAAGTAAGTTTGCAGCTGAAGATTTTAAAGAAAATCCTCAAAATGCATCTGAATTATCGCTATTTATGTAAGTGTGGTTCAGTTTCAGGAAGAACTGATTGAACTGAAAATAACTATCCCACCAAGAAGACAGTGTTCCTGGAAATTTAAAAATACAGACTATAGAGCTAGGCTGAAATTTCTACAATTGTCTCAACAATGTGTTAATCCTCTGTCCCCAAGGAAAATCCACCCAAAATATAAAATCGTTGAAATTAAAAATGAATACTAATTATCAGTAATGAAAGCTTGAATCAGAAACTGATACAGACCTTCATTTGTACAGAATGTATGCTCTTTTAATAGTAACAACACAATGGCATATAAAAACCAAAACTGTTCAAATCACCTCCACCTGCTAAGGTGGTGAACTGGTTTCCAAGCATATTATAACAAATTGCCCCTAAACTTAGTGGCTTCTAATAAGATAAATTTAATATTTTAATCCTGGAGGTCAGAAGTCTGAAACCACCCACATGGGCTAATGTCATGTGTCGGCTGTGCTGGTTCCTTCTGAGGCTCTCAAGTGAGAATCTGTTTCCTGTCTCTTTAAGCTTCTAGAGTTCGAGTATCTGCTAGGATGTGTGATCTCATTCACCAAATCACTTCAACTTCTTGCTACCATTATCACACTTCAAACTATAGCAGTCCCCACTTAGTGTTTCACTTTCCACTTTCAACTGCAAGCTAGAAACAGGTGAGTACAGCACATTGTAATGATATATTGAGACAGACCACATTCACACAACTTTAAATACAGCATACTGTCACGACTGCTCCATCTTTAATCACATTGTCCATCCTCTGCACAGCCCACCTATCTCACAGCTACAAGTGCATAAGTGTTCCACGTATTTACAGGGCTTGGTACTAACCATGGTTTCACGCATCCACTGGGGATCTTAAATGTATCCCTCAGCAGGGCGAGACTATTGTAATGACTCTGATACTCGCTTCTCTACAAGAACCCCTTTAGTCGCTTAGGCCCACATGGATAATCTGAGATATCTCCTATCTCAAGATTTTGAATTAATCACATCTAAGATAATTCTCATGTAAGGTGACATATTCATAGTTCTGGGGATAAGGACGTGACATACATCTTCGGAGACTACTTTCAGTTCACTAAGCAGGTGGTAATACTTGAAGGAGGAAAGAGTAGACATAGTAGATGGCATAAACATTATTTTTCACTTTCAACATGAGGGAAGGAAGAAAGAAAGGACTCAAATTTCACAAAAAGCACTTAGCCCATTCTTCTGTGTTCTAAGACTATTCTAGCCATTGAGCAATAGCTACTGCCTACACGTGCTATTGAGACTTTGATGGCAATATTCCAAATTAAGATGTGCTGTAAATGTACAACTACATATAAAACTTGAAAGACATCATATAAGAAAAGTGTAAATATCTAATGATTAATTTTAAACAAATTTTACATTTTGAAAGGAAAATATTTTGGACATATTTAAGTTGAATAAAATATATAATCAAAATTAATTCCCATCTGCCCTTGTTTATTTTTTAACAGGGCTATTAGGAATTTTAAATTACAGATGTGGGGAATAAGCACACTAAAAAGATGAAATAAAAAGTCTTCTGCCAGCAAAAGCAACAAGAACACTGGCAAAAATTCTCAAAATCAAATTTTGGAAAACTCTGGAAATTAACTAAAGCCTTGCAATAACTGGGATGAGTTTATCCAGGGGAAAAAACACCTGAATTTTAATAAGACCAGCAAGCTTTAGACGCCTTAACTCGCTATAATATCATCCACTTCTACCAGGTTTGAGAACCAACAGCCTCACTGTGAAACTAAATACTAGCAGCCTGGCAAACTACAAAAGTCAGCAGAATGAGTTTAAAGTTTAGTGGGGGAAAAACCCAGGCTTTCTTTTCTTTTTTTTTTTCCAGCTTCACTGATGAATTCTACCAAACAATAAAAGAAAAATTAGTACTAATTTCTGCCAAACTCTTCCAAAGCCAGAGAGGAAAGAATATTTTCAACTCTTTCTATGAAGCAAAATGTTATCAGACACCACAAAGTACAAAACATCATCAGAAAACTACAGATCATAAAAACCAATATCCTCATGAATATAACAAACCTAAGAATCCTCAGCAACATACTAGCATACTTGAGTACAGCAATATATACAAAGGATCAGTACAATTATCTAACTGAAAATTTTCCAAGGGTTGAAAGATTGGTTCAATATACAAAAATCAATGTCAACTGTTAATCAATCAATAACCAAATAATATATAAATGGATAAGTGACACAAAACAAATCATCATGTCAGTAGTCACAGAAATAGTATTTAATAAAATTCAACACTCTTTCATGATAAAAACAGTCAGTAAACTAGAACAGAGGGTACTTCCTTGACCTGTTAAAGTTAACAAGGAAGGTCAGGCACTATGGCTCATGCCTGTAATCCTGCACTTTGAAGGCTGATAGGAGGATCACTTGAGCTCAGGAGTTTGAGACCAGCATGGGCAACATAGTGAGAGCTCATCTCTACTAAATTCAAAAAATTTAGCTAAGCATGATGGCATATGCCTGTAGTCCCAGATAATTAGCGGGCTGAGGTGGGGGATTGCTTGAGCCTGGGAGTTCAAGACTGCAGTGAGCTTCATGATCATGCCACTGCATCTACAGCTGGGTGCCAGAGAGAGACCTTGACTTAAAAAAAAAAAAAAAATAGAGTATCACGGAAAAAACACAGCTAACATCATATACTGCAGGTGAAAGACTGAAATGTTTTGCCTTGAGATCAAGAACAAGAAAAGGATGCCTGCTCTTGCCACTTCCATTCAACATTGTACTGGAATTCTGTCCAGGGCAATTAGGCAAGAAAAAGAAATATATGTACCAGATTGAAAGGAAAAGCAAAACTATTCTCATTTTGCAGATGATGTAATCTCACACAGGAAAAATCCTACAGAATTCACTAAAATACTCTTAGAACTAAATAATGAGCCCAGCAAGGTTGTAAGATTAAAAAATAAAGAAAGGATCATCACATTAAAGTTCTGTTGCTCAATGCTAATTACAATAATTCAACTTTAGAGAATATAAACAGCCTATGTAATGCAGCACC